AGAGAGAGAGAGAGAGAGTGCTCTCCTGGGTATGTCGCTGCAGCCCTGTGTGGTAGAGATAAGACCACCGCCTACACAGAAGCCTGTTTCTTGGGAATTAGAAAGCTTTCCCCAAAGTCCACTAGTGACACACAACACCATCCATCACCAGGCTGCAACGGGTTTACACAACCTCCCAACTGTCCTACAAGACGTTCCATTGTCAGCTCCAGCTGCTTCTGTCGAGATACTGTCAACAGAGCAGGCGTGTTGTGTGTGTGTGTCTGTATGCAGGCTTATGAGTTACATGGCACAACCACAGACGTGCTGCAATGTCCTGTACGTCTGTGCATCTGTCTGTGCTGCTGTATGACAGCGAGAGGCGGGCCTGTAATTCCTGGCCTCCTCCTTTCATCTTGATAACCTCTTATCAGGGCAGAGCAGCCCGCTCGCGCAGTGGCAGCAGCCACATCCCTGCCCAGCTGTCCACACTGCCACCACTGAGCCCCTTATTTCACTCTTACTCTCATAATATCCCTCTCATTCACATGAGCAGTTTAGTTTAATTCTGAATCAATCCCTCAAAGGAAACTCTGTGGAGACTAGTGCATGAAAGTGAGTGAAAAGAGGAATAAACTGAAGTACTAGATAGCACAAGAAATTAGCATCACCAACCATCTTTCCATATATTTACACTCTGTGGAAACTAGAGCCTTCCCAGCATGCACTGGGCAAGAGGCAGGCTACATCCTGCACAGGTTACCAGTCTGTCAGACACATTTATACATACAGGCAAATTTGGTTTTCAGTTTACCTTACTTGAACCTGAAGTCTCTATCCATAAGCCAGCATGGAACATGAATAGTACAAGGGATGTTACAGTTGTAGAAGTGCTATCTCCCATCTTTGACCTGTTACGTCCTGCCACCTTTCAATACTCAGTCTATATAATTGTGGCCAAACTGCAATACATCAACCAAAGTTAATAAAACAATCATCATCACTACCAAAAACGTTCAGTGGTCTAAACCCTCCTAACTGGGGATGCATTTAAATGCCTATAAAGGGGATGAAGAACAGAGCTATAGCCCTGATTTAAGGAATACTGAGATGATAAGAAGTCAGGGTTTTTGCCTGATTTGGTTGGGAAACGGGATAGCCAGCAGTTTTCCAATTATACTATTTGACACGTCTTAAAAAGTGACTGAAATGTTTTATTTTTTATCAGAATCAGTCTTATAGCCCAAGTGTGTACACATACAAGGTATTTGACTCCGGTTTTTCATTGTTCCCAATGTGCTTACGCAGACACAGGCATAAAAATATTTATATATTATAATATATAAGTATAGATAGCCAAACCCTCTTGAAAATGACACTACAATTGACATAAGGGCGTTAAAACACCTGATTTCCACAAAACAAATAAGAGGTTTCTAAATCACCCAGATTCCCCCAAATACTAAGGACATGACCCCAATGGCAGCTATACGGCCTGATGAAGAGGAGAACCACCTTGCTGACTTTACTTTATTTTTGTTGGCGCAACATGAGAATTTCATGCCATGCAACTGTAGAAAGGGGGAAAAGATAGGGAAATGGGAGACTCAATTGCAATTTTAAGCCACAGTTATGATGGCTTGTATACTGATTTGCATCTGGCCTAACTGATGCAGTTTATCTGCCCCTCACTACCTTATAAGGACATGTTTAATGTACCTGCTGCAGGTTCTTAAGTAAAAGGAAAAAGGCCCAGTGTTGGAAATTAAAAAAGGCCTCTTCCCAACTGTTATTCTCCCCTGATTTCCCTGAAAACTGTATATGAACAAAGAGAGAGGAAAGTTGGGGAGCTGCTTTGACTATCAAATGACTGGGACAGTGCCGGGCTTGTGCGCTGCCGGGCCATGTCCAGACCATATCTCTCCCCCATGATTGCAGCTCCTTTCCCGATTTGCATTACTGTGTTCCACTCTAAGCTTTGCTGGACCACAAAGAAATTGAGTCTTTGCATTTTATATCTGCTTTGTTCAAATGTCTGTCGTCTCTTTTCCATGTGGGCTCGGCCTTATCAGGGGCCGTATGCACATTTCATCAACAGACAAAAAGCACCCATCCTGCATGCTCACTGTGCCAGCTGTATGATGTCCTTTACATTAGTTTTATGTATCTGTAATGAACCTGTCTGTCTATCAGGTGAACTTAACTGTTTGATAATGGCTTTGTTTGGGGGCTGATGTGCATTTTATGTGTGGTTCCTTCTCTGTGGAAGTCACCAGAGATACAAACATGTTATCAATACTACACTACCACAAAGGAAGAGGAACCAAGATTTGAAGCTGACACCTTCACCTTTCCCACTTGCTTCAGATGCCAAAAGCCTTTGATAAGACACACGGTATTTGTAATACACTTAGAGAAATTACACAGTTGTACATATTTTTTTTTACATTCAGTTGAGTTGTAAATATGTCACATCTGCCCCCACGCAAGTTTTTTCTCTCTGGACAAAAGAGGTGTGTCTTTCAAAAAGTTTGTCCCCAACCCCTCCCACGGACTGTCTCTTAGCCCTAAACTTTGCTGGTGGTTGGAGAAGTAGTTCTTGTAGCCATCAGCCCATACTGAGGTAGACACACAAGCTGTGCCACTCTCTACCTGGCTGCATAATTTTGACCCCGAGTCCTGCTGCTCTCCTCGTCCATCTGTGACATCCCCTCAGGTAGGTGACCCCTGGCTCTTTCTCTCCTGTTGGTCTCATTCTTCACTAGACACCAGCATATGATCCAGTTGATTTAGTATAGAATATCTGGCTTATGAAAGCATATTTGTGCATTTGAGACGTTCACTGGTGAGGTTTAATATCACCTCAGGTGATTTATTGCTTGATTGGCAATGACTTGTGGACACATGAGAGTTTAGGACTTTGCTTTGGGTCAATGAAGTTTATTTCTCAGTGAAATGGACCATTTCTGTTAGAATAGAAGTGTTTTATTTAGATTTCTATTTCTATTTCTCTATTTTTTAAAATAATTTTTCAGTTATTAATTTGTTTCTATTTGTTTTTTCTTATTCAACATATTTGAATGTTTAATGTAACTGAGTGATCAAATTAATTTGGATCAATTATCATAGTAATCATCATGCTTTTAGGTGACTTGGGGTCAAACTATATCAAATTTATATCCAATTAAATATCTCATCCAGTTAATGTTAAATCTCTGTACAAATATTGAAAAAACAGCTGTACTAAATGCCCTCTCAATTAGGGTAATAATTAAACTTGGAGTTAATTAAGGACGTTCCTGTGTGACGCTTATATCTGAAAACCAGCTAAAAGGATTAAATATATGTCAATGTCATTATTGCCGCCTATTTTAATTTTCTCAGTACAATCTGATCTGATCGGCTCAACATGGCATGCTGTATCCCTCTCTGCTGGGTTCTTACATTTGTCACATTTCTAGTCTTTCTACAGATTTCTATTAATCAGATGAGATTAGGGCCGTCGGTGTATCGGTGGAGCGGGCTATATTTAGCATTATAATAATGCCGTCTATCAGATTTTCTCAGACTTTATCAGACACTATCAGCCTCTTGTCTTTCCTCTTCTCTTTCCTCTAAAGATACGAAGCGAGAGTGGCCTCGTCTATTATTGCAATTTTCAATTCTCTCACTCTCACTCTCAAGTTTCACTCAGTTTTCAGCAAAGCAGTCATTATTATAAATTATTATTATTATTCTAAATTATTATTATTATAAAGTCATTTTTAAATTTTCATTTTAAGGACTAAACCTTTTATCACAACTCTAAAAAAGTTGTGAAAAGATACCACCACTCACCAATTACTTGATAAGAACACACAAATTCAGAAGACTGGTGTGAAAATGCTACACAATCTTCCAAGCAGTGTTACTGTCAACACTCTCACTTAGGAAATCTGCCTGCAAACACAACAAGTTGTTTTCTTTCTCAGTTGGAGATGATAGGGCGTCCCCGGGGGTATATCTTTTGCATTCTTCTAACTGGCACACCTCTTGTAGAAAGGCCACTTAGTAACCGTTTGGTCACTGGCTGCATCACAACAATTATAGACCCATTTATTTTTAGTTTTTACTTTCAGCCACTATTTAACTTCCTTTTCCTAGAAAAGGAAGTTTAAAGAAGCTTGCTGTCGAGAGATCTTGTCCCTGATAACTTCAAGTTAGATGAGTCATTATGAATTATCTGCTTCAATCAGAGTTACAGCAAATCAGAAACTGTTCATTGTGGAATGATGATTTTCACGACAATAAAAAATACCTGCTTTCAGTTTTTGAAAAGTGACCCTGAGAGGACGCATTAGATACAAAAGCACTGTAGATTTATCACATTCCTTCTATGGTAGTGGTCTAGGTTGAGGTATTTTCTACCACCATGGAGGATTCGTCAGAGCAGTCCCACTGGGTGTCTCCGGCTCTGCTCAGCTCAGATCCTCTCGCCGGTTTCTCTTCTGAGCCCGGCCTGCTGCCTCCAGGAGAAGAGGGAGAGGCCTTCTTCTCCAACCAGGACCCAGACTACACCAGCCTGCCCTCCTTCTTCTCTAACCCAAGCCACAGTCGAGCACCATCCACCTACAGACACAGCTCGGGTCAGTGCTCCTACTGTCACTTATCAAATCCATCTTCTCATCCACCTTCCATATAATGATCTGACTTTATTCTGTTCCACTCTCTAAAGTTCGTCAGGTGTTCTCCTCGCCGAGCCTCCTCAGCAACCTCCAGCTGCTGGACGGGGGGGGCAGCCACTCCCTGAGCTCACCCTACAACCCTCCGGTCTCCACCTGGAGCAGCAGCCCCCTCACCAAGAATCCGCTGCACTCACACACCCCGACCTCCCTCTACACCCCCGGCGTCACGTCCTCTTTCACCACCTCCAGGGACGGATACTTGTCTCCAAGCAGAGAGGGCAGAGAGAGCCCCCGGCTTCAGGAGGCCCTGAAGGCCGAGCGCCTGAGCCCGCTGGGAGGGTTGGGGTCCAGCAGCAGTTTTCTGAACCTGACACCTGCTGCTGGGAGTGTATACACTCCGTCGTCCCACTCCCACCCACACATGTTGAGCCCCTACAGCTCCTACATGACGGGTCCACAAGACTACAACTCTGCTGCCCTCTACTCCAGCCCTGGAGCCTGGATTAATCCCTCATACTCGCCTAAACTCCACAATAAGATGCGGATATCCACTCCAGGTGAGGATAAGATTTGTAATTTTCTCTAATTTTACTATATTTTACTGACAGATCAGTCAGTAAATCTAAAAATAAAGACATTTAACATTGGAAGTTCATTTTTCTTTCAGTCATATCATATGACCTTCCATGGCCATAGAAAGGTCGATGGTCAAATTCCAAAAGTTACAAAATTTCAGTCTCGACTTTTAAGCCAACATGGATGAGAAGTTCTTAGAGTGCTCAGAAAGAAGAAGATTTCTTTGGGCTTTTATGCCTTTACGTTGATAGGACAGGTGAAGATAGAGAGGAAAGGGTGGACAAAATGCAGCAAAGGCTGCTGGTTAGAATTGAAGTGAAATACTCATATAAAGAATTTCATTCAGTGATGAGATATTAACTATTCTCATATTCACTGACTCCTTTCAAGACATTTTTACAAACATTTTGTAACAATAACAAAATGCTACTTGTGCAGTAACAACGATGTACTTCTAATTTTGAACAGAGGCCAGAGAGTGTGTTAACTGTGGAGCCACAGCTACGCCGCTGTGGCGTCGGGATGGTACAGGCCACTACCTGTGCAACGCCTGTGGACTGTACCACAAGATGAACGGCCAGAACAGACCACTAATCCGACCCAAGAAGAGACTGGTGCGACCCATTGAGACACACACTAACACACCTATCTGGGTGGATAAGGACACAATATTTGCTTTGTGAAGTATTCAGAAAAGAATCAATCATAGCCAAAGCAGTTGAAAAACACTGATGATTTATTTTCTGCGTTTTAGATTGTCAGCAAGCGGGCAGGCACACTGTGTGCCAACTGTCACACAAGCACAACGACACTGTGGAGACGCAACGCTAATGGAGAGCCTGTGTGTAACGCGTGTGGACTCTACTTTAAACTGCACAATGTGAGATAAAACTCATAGCTATATTTTATATCAATAAACTGCTGCACAACAATTTAGCCAAAGTCTGCTTGTAAATAAAAATTCTAAGTAGGTAATGTCTTTTTTTCCCCCAGGTCAACCGGCCCCTCACCATGAAAAAGGACGGCATTCAGACAAGGAACAGAAAAGTGTCCAACAAAAATAAGAAGAGCAAGAAGGTCGCCATGTTTGAGCAGTACTCAGAGGTGACTCAGCCATCCTCCCTGGATGGCAGCGGTGGGCCTTTTTCCCTCGGCCCTGGGACTCTCCTCACCTACAGCCACACACCACACCTTATCACAACACCATCTCCCCTGCATCCCTCCGCCTCCCTACCCTACACACATCACCTTAACTCTGGCATGGTGCCCACACTGGTGTGACATGACAAAACAGGCCCCTGAAAGCTGTATATTTAGGAATCTAGCTTGCTTGCCAGTCATTCGTGGGAATTTGTACATATGTGTTTCTACACAGGATGTCATGTGAATGTGAATGAATTTTTCACTGTATTTTAGGGGAAAGCACCAATTCACGTTGATCAAGTGCTTGTTTGAAATCAGATAAGGGAATTGTTTCAGCTGTAAATACAAACAAACACAAATCTGATTTGACTGCCACATCCGAGTCTTTATCCCTCTTCTGTTATTCATAATGTGAAATTATGTTTTGGTTTTGTGTTACAGAGGCCTGTTTTGTATTTGCAAATTTGTATTTGTATGACATTACCATATTGAAACTCTACGGAGAAAATAATAAAATGTGTGACTGAAGGCTTCTGTTTTTGATGTCATTTGAATTCTCAGCTCATCCGTTCAGCTCAGTGAACTGACCACAGTGAAGCCTCCTGAGTGCCGTTATTGTATTCCCCTGCTCAGGTATAATAGTCTCTTTGTACAGGCAGCGTTCCACTTTGACAGTGTAATTGTACATGTATGCAAATTCTCCATTCTGCAGAAGTGACAAACATTCAACTAAAGTGCAACACTTACACCAGGGTTTTATATTTAGAGCAGCACTGCCAGTTAAGTGCGTTTTAAGTTCAAACACACACACACAAGGTCATGTTTTGTTTTTTTTATTACTCATCACTGTTCGTGTGCTCTTAAAGGGGACTTTTTTTCCTGTGCAGAATTTCCACTCTCATGCTTGAATGCAAATGTCAGAGAGCTACAGAGAACTTGCTTAGTAATGATACGTTGCAATATATGTAGCTTGACAGTAAAAAAACATCTAATTGTAGTCTGAAGACTAAACATGAATGCCTTGAGATGAACTGTGTTTATGTCATTAGTTTGATAAATATAGTTAATGAACGGCAGTGGAAAAATTATTCAGGTTCTGTACTTACATAAAAAAAGCAATATCTCCACCATTTATACCACCAAATTAAAATACTCAATTGTGAATGAAAGTCTTTAAAGTTAAAGTATAACCAGCAAAATATAGATAAATAGATATATTTTATTGTCCTTTCCAGGAAATGTGTTGCCACAGCTTGTACATAGCCTCACATTAAAACATAACCACAAGAAATGTTTGCTATCTTAATCTGCATTTAGCTGATCATATGTCGTGTTTGAAAAATATTAATCTGAAAAGTTACTAAAAGCTATAGATGAAAAATACATATTGTGGAGTAAAAGGTTCAATATTTATATTGTAAAAAATGTAGTGGAGTAAAATATATAAATACCGTAAATACTCAAAACCGACTTTTTTTAGAATTGGTTTTACTTTCTACGTAGATGTCAGGGTCACTTATGTTGTAGTGCCAACATTTTAATTTTCAGACATGCTGGATTCTGTGATTTTTTATATGCAGATAATCCCACTCAATGCAACAGAGATAACTGTTTCATATTGATCCAACTCGTGTCCATGTCTGGGAAACTCATTTGACTATTAAGGAAAAGTTATTTGTAAGGATTTTGCAATAAATGACAACTGAAAATCTTTAAATGTGTAGAAACATGAAATGAGTTTTCATTCCCTCAGTGTTGACATTCAGGCGGAGGTATGTATGTGCAGTGTATTTCTTTATGCTGAGCAGCAGGGCTGGGGTTGCTCACTCAGGACTGGGGGATGACTGATACGTTATCACTGAGGCCACAGACCCCAAACCATCCACCTGCTGCTGGCACCGCCACTCTTACACTCCCTGTCAGTTAGTCAGCGAGGGGCACCGTGAGCACTTTCAGACTTGACACCAGAAAGAGTTATGACAAACAAATAAATCATTGGCGTCATCTGAAGGCACATGAACTCCATTTGTTTGCTCAAAAGAGTTCACCCACAGTTTCAAAATCAATATGTCATGATTGGGTCAAATGAATCCAGTCAGGTTATATAATCTTTGGGGACACACAGAACGCTTGACTTGAGACAAATCTATAAATAATCACACATTTTCACAGCAGATTTGTCCATGCTTCACTGCAGACTTGAGGGAGAAATAAGACTTTCATTTATGCATTCGGTTTCAGCTTCTTGAGCACAGCCCTGTGAACATCTGGGCACGCCACCCACTCTTGACACTGCATGATACACACACACACACAGTCACTCCCCTGAGTGCTTTGGGTATAAACCAACTCTGAGGCAGAAATCACTAAAACACTCTATTGCAGAGAAACCTTAAAATTCCACTTTGTTTCCCTCCTCAAGAATGATCAGAAGTAGTAAAACAAAAATGAAAATGTGAAGACATGAAATGTAAAGAATTAGAATGATTTGGCAAGAACATCCATAGTTTATACTCTTTTCCTTAACTGTCTCTATCTGCTGTTTATCTGCTGCCGCCGCCAGCTCTGCTCTGGGGAAATGGCAACAAATGCCAGGGATAGATTAGCAACCACAGGCCTGCTCACAAGGCCATCCGTTAGTGTCCTTCTCACTCTTGTTCCTTCGGTCTTTGTCTCTTTTCCCATTCAGCCTATTTTATCCTGCAGTTGTACAGTGTCCTTAGTTTTACTATAGCCTGTTATTATGGGGAGGCAAGTGATTTGATAATGAGTTGTTTTATCATTGACAGTCTGGGAGACTCTATATGATAGATAATAAATATCTTTGGGCAAATTCATATTTTCGTTGTCATTTCAAACAACAGCTTTCCTGAAGGAGGATGCATTTCTAACAGAACCCTTGTCAGCACCACACTGTTACATCTACAGGGAGAATAAAAATAATAACCAAAAGCAGCTACCACTGCTTCATGTAAATTCTCCTTTTGAAACATGTGATACACAGGCGCCCCCAAAAGGTAACAACCTAACACTGCAGCTCCAGTTTTTCAACCCAACTGTCACAGGATGTAAAACCCTGAACACTGCAGTTTAGAGATAACGCATATATGCGTGTAGTTCATATAGTGATGTAAATTGTTGATGCATATTATGAAGCTGGACTGAATATAAATTGACACTTCCATTGACGTAGCATCAATGGAAGTGACACATTTTGGGTACAACTTCCTTTTATATAACTCACAACAGTGATATCTTTGATGTATTTATTGCATATTAGTATATACTATTATATTGTATATGGGCTTAGTAACCATTTCGACCTGACCAAGATCCATCTGGGATTGAAAAATTGTCCATTCAAATATTTATTTTGTTTGGAGTCAGTGTGAAAGCATTACAACACGCGATAAAGCATCAGTTGTTTAGACAATCTTGACTATGCATCTCCCAAAGGATTCACAACTCTGCATCTCCTCCTGTTAAAATAATCTATTTATGACAAAAATCTGTTCCCTCTGACATTTTGGGCTCACAATGTTGCACTTTCCTAGTCAGGTGATCAAAAAACTGAACGAGTTTCAATGCAATCTAACAGGAACATTTGACAGTCCCATGAGTCCTATGGTAGATATTTGGTTCAGTTTGTTGGATTGACAGTGTACTGCTGATGTGTGTGTGTGTGTGTGTGTGT